ATTGGCACCACGTGGGCTTTTGAGTTCTTTGAAAACATTAAACATTGAAAACAGAAAAAACATTTAAAACATTAAAATGTTTCTCTGTCTTTCATTCTAACTATTGCCTGCTCTTCAGAATCTCTATTCATGTGACTTCATTCGTTGTACTGTCTCAGATAGTCCAGATTTTCTTGGTAAACTAGGTTACCTAAATGTTTCATTTATTGTGATCTGGGATATAGTGGGGGTTTTTTTTTTTTTTTTGTGAGGAAGATCAGCCCTGAGCTAACATCCATGCTAATCCTTCTCTTTTTGCTGAGGAAGACCGGCTCTGAGCTAACATCTATTGCCAATCCACCTCCTTCCCCCCACCCCAAAGCCCCGGTAGATAGTTGTATGTCATAGTTGCACATCCCTCTAGTTGCTGTATGTGGGACGCGGCCTCAGCATGGCCGGAGAAGCAGCGCGTCGGCGGGCGCCCAGGATCCGAACCTGGGCCGCCAGTAGCAGAGCACGCGCTCTTAACCGCTAAGCCATGGGGCCGGCCTGACATAGTGGTTTTTAAAAAGATAAAATTGCATAAAGTAACCAAAATGAAAGCATATAACAGTTCAGTAGTTAAATATGCTAATATATGTGAACACACCTAATTATTACTTATATTATTATTACATATTTAATGTCTAAAGTCTAAATATCAAATGATACACAGTCTGGGCAGGAGGATTGTGGGTGCTGGGGTGTGGAGGCAGAAACTTTTTTTTTTTTTTTTTTTTACATTTCTTACTGATTATTTTGGATAATTTTATCATTTAATACATACTTGATGAATGTGAAAGAGTATTTGAAATATGAGTCATCAGAGTGGTCTAGCCTTAGAGCCATGGAGGTCCAGAGGAGGACAGTTGTTTTCAACTAGAGAGGATGAAGCAAGTCTTCAGGAATAGGAGAGATTTTACACTAGCTCTTGCAGACAAGGAAAGCATGGACAAGCAGAGATGAAGGGAAATCCAGGCAGGGGTAAAGGTGAGAGAAAAGGCATGAAGGTTGGGAGGGGTGAGTGGTAGAAACAGCATCAGGTCCCCTGGCTGGAATATGGGGGAGTGGAGAAGAGTGGCTGCATTGTGTGAAAGGTCCCTGGGAAAATTTATAATAGAGGGATCAGGCTAACATCCTCTGAACCAACAAATTACTCTTAATATCCCTAGAAGTAGGACAACCACCTGTGACATATTCTTACAAAAAACAAAAATCTAATCGAACCTTGAAATTTAAATAGCAATTGACAGAAACCATGGGAAACAGGGGAACATTTAAACAATGCCATGAAGATATACTCTGCCAAATCCAGAATATGAGAAATTCTACAGGACAAATGAACTAATTTCTTCAGTAAATACATGGTGTGAAAAAAGAGAGGAATCGGAAACTGTTATAGATTTAAAGAGACTTAAAAGACATATCAAGCAAATCAATGTGTGAACCTCATTTGAACAAACCATCTGTATTAAAGAATTTTTTTGAGACAATCTGGGAAAATTAGACTCAGACTGGGTGTTAGATAAGGAATTATTCATGGTGTTGGGTGTGAAAATGGTATCACATATATTTTTTAAGGTTCTTATCTGTTAGATTAGAGATACACCCTGAAGTATTTACAGTAGAAATGATAAAATGTCTGCAATTTGCTTTCAAATATTCTAGCACAGAAACAATAAAAAGCAAGAGTGGAGAGATGAAGCAAGAATGGCAGAAACGTGGTGATTTTTGAAGCTGTGGGGTGAGTCTGCAGGTGTTCATTTTACTCTCCCACATGCTTTTGAGTATGTTTGAAATTTTCCATAATAACATGTTTTAAGATCAAACTAAGGAGTGTGGACTTTGCTGTGCAGGTTTTGGTCTGAGGAGGGGCAGGGGAAGGGCTTGAGTGACCCGGAAAGGTTAACCTGTACAGTGTAGGATGTGGCCGGGGGAGGAGGACGAGAGGTAGGGCCCCTGCAGACCTTGATTAAGGTGGTGGCCATGAGAATGGAGACTTTTTTGAGAACAGATAGAGGAAATAATGGCAAAAGAGGAACTCTGGTGGGTGGGCAGTGCAGAAGTGAATCAGCGCACTGTGTGGAAACCCCCTTCTTCCTCCTCAGTCCTGGCGATTACTGTCCTCACGTCGCTCACCGAGCACCATGAGGATGAGGAAGGGAGCGAGAGGGGTCCTGCACGAGGAGGAGCTGAGCCAGCTCTTCATACCAGCCAAAGGGGAAAGCAGTGGGGAAACAAAGAACTCCGTTCTCTTTTTTTTGTTTTGCTCTTTTTCACAAGGAATTACTCTCTTGTGGTTTCAGTATGAAATTTATAGGTACAGTGATTCATTTTGATCATCTTTCTCTATTTTCATTGGGGAAATGATGATAATCTTTGTCAGTGGTCCTACCTGAATAATTTATGATATTAGTTAAGACAGATTCTATTATTTATTTGTGAAATTGAACACTTTAAAAGAATGTATGTGGGATTAATTAAATGAGTTGAAATGATGTGGTCTGAGGAAACAAAAGGTGAACTATAGTAAATTAATGAAAGCTTAGATTTACATATATAGTTTTTGATTTGTCAACAGCAAAAATATTAAAAATAAATCTCAGATCCAATGGAAAGTAGCAGTTGTTCGAGACTGAAGAGAAATGGTAGTTCTCCAGCCCTCTACAAGCAAAGATAATGAATACTTCACACAGGAAACATGACTGAGCTCTGATATAAACGGGCCCTCCAAAGAGGAATGCGCACCCAGAGAACACTTTCCTGGTCGCTTTTGCTCTCTTCTTCCTGAGTTTTCTTTTTCAAGAAATTAACCCTGCAAACTGCAGTCTGTAAGTGTGGGCCATTTCCTATGATTAACACCCCTCTTTTGCATCTCAGTTGAACATACCTGTTTAGAGAGGGCTGAGCCTAGGTGGGGAAAAATGTTGAAACATAATGCATTCTTTACCCTTACTCTGCATCAAGAAGATGAGGGAACTTCTTTCCCTGAGACTCCCTGGCAGGGCTTTTCATTCAGTCCATCCAAGCTGGCATCTACCACCCAGCTTGTACGGTCAGAAAGAAGTGATGTTTTAATCAGGTTTGCTGCTGGCTTGAGCCTAATTAAATAGAATTTCCAGTTCATGGTAGCTGTTGTGAAAAGCTCTCAGGGAGGAAACAGAGAGGAAAATTCCTAGCTAAAAGCAACAGAGGTGGTTTTCATTTTACTTGGGACACATAGCTGAGCTGCTGGGTCACAGAAGGGATAAGGACAGAGAGACCCATGGTTATGAGTCTGTTGTGAAAAAGGTTGAACTGTTATCAGCGCTTGATAGAAATGAGTGGGGGGGAGGGAGGTGGCAGCAGTGTCTCTAACAGCACTGCCTCCTGTATTGCATTATCAGAAAAGAAAGATAACCTGAGAATAGGCATCCATTATCTCTCTCTACAAAGGAGTGAGTGTGTGTTGCAAGAAATTAATGGCTTTTGAGTTACCGCAGAAATACTGATGAATGTCAGGACCAGAGATGTAAAGTAGGTAAAATTGGCTTTTCTCGGCCTCATTTCTCTCGTTTTCTCTTTTGGTTCACTATTTTAAGATCTAGATCTATGTTACTCTTTTTTTCTTCAGCCAAGATCAGAAATCATACCCTTTGGAAGTGTGATTTGTCTTCCTTAGGGAATGACTCAATTAGTTTATGGTTGTCTTCAATGTGTGTCAGCAAAGAGAAAGAGAAGCATCTCAGAAATGAAAATCCCTACCACGGAGGAGTGCTCCCTCTTGTGTGGATGTCTTTTTCATGCCCACTAAAAGTATCAGGAAGTCTCTCAAGTGACAGTCCCCTTTATTAAAGTACTAAACTTGTGTGTATTGCAGCTAATCATTGATTAAAGATGGCATGACCAGATAAACTTGTGAAACAGCGGGGAATTATGTCTACTGTATGCTGGGCCTTGTGCTAGGAGCTTTATTTCTAATTCCACAAGTACTTAAGTACCTACTATGTACCAGGCATCACACTGTGTGCTGTGATAAAAGGATGAAAGGACAGACCTCACCCTGTCCTCAGTGGAGCTTCTAGTCCAGTAGGGAGAATAGACTTTTAAAAAAACTTCAAAATTTATCTTATTCAGATATTTAAGTAAAATATTATAAAACAGCCAGATAAGAGCTTATCAAAGAGGAATAATATAGTAGGGATATCTCATACTGACCCAGGGGTGTGTGTGTGCAGGTGAGGGGTGGGGGTTGGGGGCATCAGGACAGACCCGCTTCCTGGAGGAGGGGTAGCTGAGTGAGGGTACGTGTGTGGAAGCCGTGGAAAAGAGCACTGCAAGTGGAGGGAGCAGCCTAAGCACAGTCAGGCTCAGAGGTGAGGGAGAACTGCTATCTAAGCACAGAGACCTAAAAAGTGAGCTACTGGAGAGTTCTGGAGAACTGGTTATAAGACAGAAGGCTCATGAACTGACCACAAAGACTAATGGGGGTGTCTGAGAAACAGGAGTTTGTGAGCAATACTTCACGCTCTGTCCTTTCCATTGACCCTTCTAGCTTTACTGCCCTAAAGAAAGATGCGCATTAGCGGGGAGTTAGGTCCAGGGGCAGGAGACACATTCTCTCTCGTGTATTTGATACTCTGTAGAATCTTACCTAGAATACAAGAAATCCTGGCGAAGTGCCGTTGTTTCCTGGGCCCACGGGGCGTGGTCTCAATTCCTGTTTTCCTCCCAGACCTCTGCATGTCACACTGACACTGCACTCCGCCATGCTTACTCTTGCATCATATTTCCACTCTGAGTTGTTTAGACCTGAGGTTTTCGCCAATTACAGCTTGTCAATTAGGTGCTATCTAGGAATTTTACTACTATGTTTAGTTTGAACCAGAAGGACATCGACCTTGATCTGTAGTTTCTTGCACCTGCCTTTTCAACTCATTCAGTTCATTCATATTAACGAATTAATACATTGCTTCTCTTGTTTTTATTCTTTTTCTTTCTAGAACACAAGCAAGCATTCCCAAACATTCTAAAGAAGGGTTACCTGGAGATTAGGAAGGACCATGACAGTTACTGGCAAAGCTGCTACGCAGAACTCTCCCCCTACAGCTTATGCGTCTACAGCCTCGACAGCAGTGGGAATCAAAACCTCCATGCCACCTACCAGCTTTCACACTTCCAGAGCATATCCGTTTTGGGCAACCTTGAGGCCAGGCTGGTGGATACTGTTCTGTATGACAACACTCAGCTACAGCTAAAGGCAGAGTCACCATGGGAGGCTTTGGACTGGGGCCAGAAGCTCTGGGAAGTCATGCATGCTGCCATGCCTGGTTATGTGGGACGGCAGGATGAACTGGCCAACTCCCCAAGGCTTGGTCATCATGTTGACTGTACACAGCATCATTGTTTACAGCAGAAATCCAGTGAGCTGCTCATGCTGTCCCCTATCTTGGATAGCCCCAAACAGTACCAAAACATTCTCAAATCAGGGACACTCTACAGGCTAACTGTCCAAAATAACTGGAAGGCATTTACATTTGTGCTGAGCAGGGCCTGCCTTATGGCTTTTCAGCCCGGCAAGCTAGATGAGGACCCCCTGCTAAGCTACAACGTGGACGTGTGTCTGGCTGTCCAGATGGACAATCTGGATGACTGTGACTCTTGCTTTCAAGTCATTTTCCCCCAGGATGTCCTCCGCCTCCGTGCCGAGACCCGGCAGAGGGCTCAGGAGTGGATGGAGGCTCTGAAAACAGCTGCCAATGCAGCGAGGAGTTCAGAGCAAAACCTGCAAGTCACACTGAGAAACAAACCCATGGATCTGATGGGTGGGCGTGAACTCAGGAAGAGCAAACGTCAGTCCGTGACCACCAGCTTCCTCAGCATTCTGACAACTCTGTCTTTGGAACGAGGACTCACTGCTCAGAGTTTCAAATGTGCAGGTATGGAGCCTAAAGCTCATTAAAGAACAATCCTGAATTCCACAGTTGGAATTCACTTTAAAAATCCTCACAATAGGGCCGGCCCCATGGCTTAGCGGTTAAGTGCGCGCGCTCCGCTACTGGCGGCCCAGGTTTGGATCCTGGGTGCACACCGACGCACTGCTTCTCCGGCCATGCTGAGGCCGCGTCCCACATACAGCAACTAGAAGGATGTGCAATTATGACATACAACTATCTACTGGGGCTTTGGGGAAAAAAAAAAAAAGGAGGAGCATTGGCAATAGACATTAGCTCAGAGCCGGTCTTCCTCAGCAAAAAGAGAAGGATTAGCATGGATGTTAGCTCAGGGCTGATCTTCCTCACAAAAAACAACAACAACAACAAAAAAACCTTGGCCAGTTCTGGCCAATAAAAAAAAAAAAAAAAAAATCCTCACAATAGGCCAGTCACAGCTACTTCCTGTTTAAAAAGCATCTCTCCTTCAAGGAGTTTGCTCTGTTAAGACATCTGTCTATCTTCATGCCATGCTGGTGAAGTAAGTGGAAGCATGTATGATATACCCCATCAAATCAAAATGACTTGGCCAAAGCATAACTAGACTAGAATTTAGGCTTCCTGTGTCTGCTCTGATTCCATTTTCTCTGCCTTCTTAAACAAAGGTCACTGTGAATGTGGATGTCTTAGATTGTCTTATAAGAGACATTCAGACCCAAAGCTGACTATTAACTCCTTAGGCAAGGAAAATGTCCACAGTCAGTAACTGTCATTGATTGTGACCTTGTCCAATCCTGTTAAGGTAGAATCTAGAAAGTCAGCCTTGACAGAAAATCTGGAGTTGGCTGAGAGCAGTGTAGAGGATTCAGCAGAGGACCTCTGAGTCCCTGTGCATCTGCGCCTCATCCTGAGGAGGTCTGGGGTTTCTGGAGCTGCAGTGGAAGGATGAGACACAAAGTGGAGTTCAAGGCCAGTAATCTGTTATTTCTTACAATCCTCTTCCTGCTTCTCTTCCCATTCCCCATTCCTCTCACCTTCCCCCAAACAGTAAACTAAAAATAAAAAAGTCACTAAACCAAATCTACCTGCTATAAACGGAATCAAATTATTCCCCTTTCACTAAACCTCACAATTTGGGACAAGAAATTTATCATGAAGGTAGCTTTAATTGGAAGCCCGATTTGGAAGATTTTAATTCAAGTGTATCAGATTGAAGTATGTTGTTTAAAAACGAAGAACTTCGCCACCAGCCAAGACCAAATGTTAAATTTTATGCTTGCTCCTGCATTGAAAAGCCAAATAGTGGTAGGGCAATGAAAACCCATGTTTTGAATTTAGGTTAGTTATGATGATGGCCTTTTCTATTGAAAAATAATTTACTTAAAGTGGGGAGTGGGTGAATCATCCCTGATTTGCCTGGGGGGGGACCTCAGTGACTGTTAGGCAGAAATTTGCAGGGTGGGATTAGACAGACCAGAAAGACTGAGCCGGTAAAGAAGCCATACTAGGTGATGTGCATATGTCTACAGGCATGAATGACCTTGTCAGCTAGCTACTTTTGGAAAATGGTTTTGAAATAAGGAGACACTGGTTTTAGCACCGTTTTTAAAAATTATTGACATCTCAGTGTCTTATTATACTGGTGCATATATTATATTTCAAAGTGCAGCCATTCAACAGTAATTTATTCAGTGCTTACTCTGTGGACATCCTGGAATTACACCTCTGTGGCTGTAGATTGGTGATAGGGTCAACAAATCTGTTGTGTTATTGGAATCAGGGAGAGCAGCTCACGTTGGAGACTGGAGTAGCTCAGTGGGGAAACTCACTGGTAAAAGGGGGAAGAAAAGCTTCAGGTGGTACGTAAGGATTGTCACCCGGTTGACCCCTAATTTACCTTCCTCTCATAAGTTTGCTTCCTGATTGAGTGTGCACTGCCCACGTTCTGTACTGCATTGGTAGTGTTCCTGGCACTAAGAGGAAGGAGGAATGCAGGTCGAGGGTACCATTCAGCAGGTCCACTGCGTCTAGCAGTTGGAGAAATGAAGATAAGACAAAGGCAAAGAGAGGTGAGTAGCAGATGCAGGGTGAGGGAAGCTAAGTAGAAAAGAAGAGGAAAAGGATTACATAATGGGCAGAGATAGAACTTTTTGGCAGCTGCCTTAGGTTCCATGTTATAGGATGCCTCCCTTTGCGGTCTAAATCTGGTGCTTGCTAACTTTGGCTGGTTGGAGAATAGTTGGGGGTGGGTGGTAGTAGGAATCCTGGAGACAGGTGATGTAGTCTAAAACTTATCTGCTCTACTCAGCTTTTCCTTCATGCTTTGGTTTGGAGTTCTATAATTTTTTATAATTTTATTTATTTTTCCCCAAAGCCCCAGTAGATAGCTGTATGTCATAGTTGCACATCCTTCTAGTTGCTGTATGTGGGACACGGCCTCAGCATGGCCAGAGAAGCGGTGCATCAGTGCGCGCCCGGGATCCGAACCCGGGGCCGCCAGTAGCGGAGGGCGCGCGCACTTAACCGCTAAGCCCCGGGGCCGGCCCTGGTTTGGAGTTCTAATGGGGCACAGGTGGGTTTCTAATTTGGGGTGGGGAGAAATCAATCCTAATTTGTATAGTGTGGCTGACTCCAAAGCATAAATTTTTTATTTCATTGCCTCCTCTTCCATTGGAGAAGGCTACATTCGGTGGCTTTGTGATACACGTGGCTTTACCGGGTTGCATTTTCCTTAAGTACTCGAGCATGGAATACTGGTTTCCTACCTCAGGTAGGAATACTTCATCTCCTGTAGGGGGCAGAATCTCAAAAGAAAAAAGCAAAAACTTATTAAGCAAACCTGAATGTCTTTTAAATTACTTGGGAGGCTGTTCATTATATCAAAGATTATTATAGCATATGGAACTTTAAAAATGGATCCATGTTTCTCACAAACACAGTTAATCTAAACCAGCTGCTGCTTCATTTAGTACTTGTGTCCCCTAACTTTGCATCCTCATAAAAACACGTATTCAGTGAAAAAGCTGGTTGCATAGCATGTTTACCTTCTAAAATGCCAAAAAGTCCACTAAATTTTTTTAGTTGAATCTTGGTCTTATCTGTTATTTTGAGAAGCTAATTCACAATATTTCATTGTTTTGGTGAGCCTCTTTAGACTGTAAGTTTTTATGTCCACTTAGTCCCTCCCCGTTTAAATATTTTTGATGAATAAACTTTAAAAGTGTAAGATTGTACTGAGTAGCTCGTTATTGTGATTTCATTCAGTTGCTATTCAGGGGAGCCACAAATGTTGGCTTTTAAATCTACAAAATAGTGCATTTGGACTTATTTCACTAAATTCTTTCTGTAGGTGAAGAATTTTCTATCTCCTTCTTTGAAACTTAAGGAGCCCCTGCAGAAAAAATGGACCCTGACCGTCCAGAAGTGCTTGGGGTTATGGCTTTGAAAATACATGCTTATACATAACTGTATATTTCTTAACATGTGCTTGAAGTTTTTATAGTTGTATTTGATTGTGTGTGGTTTGTTCCATGGCTTTGTCTCTAGCTCTGTGGCTGCCCCATGCATAGGAAGCCTCAGCTACAGTGGTCTTCTTGCTGTTCTGGAACCTTGGTCATTCCTGCCTCCAGGGCCTTTAAACTTGCTGTTCCTTCTTCCTGAAAACATGCTTTTGAAAATTCTGTTCTTCCATCCTTTCTACCGTTTATTGTGTGCCGAGATTCTGACCGTGTGCCTGAAACTCTGGTGCCCCAGGATGAGTCAGTGCTGCAGGGAGTAGACGTCCCTGCTCTCAGGGAGTTTCAGTCTGCTAGAGAGGGCGGATGTTAATCAGGAATCACATCATGAATGCCAAATGGCAGCTGTGATGAGAGCTATGGAAGTGAGGCCCACACATCAATTTGAGAACTGTCAGAGGTGGTGCCAAGTGGGACTATATGAAGCTGCAGATATCCAGTCGTTTTTGACCTACAAAAAAAAAAGGCAGTTTGATAAGGTTGAGCTTAATGTTTGACCCTGACGTTCACAGAAGGTTCCTGAGCAGAGGAGCACAGGATGAAAGTAGTATTTAAGAACAATGAATTTGGTGGTACTTTGGTACAGTTTTTGGAAACACCTCTGTAGCGGAAAATGAGGTATGCTTCTGTAGTGAATGAAGTTACTGGTTGAGATTCAAAGTTATGTTTGGCAATGGGGAATATGTGGTGTTAAAATATTAGTGCTAAAACAAATGATTTTGCAGCTTATTAAAATATTTATGAAGTATATACCTGTAAGTAGTTCTAAATTAGGTTGTTCATAAAATGCTGTATAAATTAGATTATAAGGCAGCAGCCCTCTTTTCTTCAGGCGTTAACTATGCGTATACACCTATTTCCGCTCAATAGATACATGGTTTTCTTGGTAGTAGTACACACAGATATTTTTCCTGTAATTTCCCAGCAATCAAGAAACCTAGCAATTGAATACTATAATAAAAGGCTCAGGGCCTTGTTTGTAGATGCGACAAGAGATGCAAAGCTTACCTTTTAAAGTCTTCCCTGTGTTACTGCTTTGGGTGAAATCAGATGGCCTACTGTGGGGCAGTGTTCCTGATTCTGAAATGAAATTGCAAATGTTAACAAAAGGGACAGCAAGAAAAAGAGTGAGACAAGGGGATCCCCTCCACCATTTTCACGTTGTCAGTTTTTATGGTTTTACTCCTTTGGCTGCTGTTTAACCTCTTGAGACTGCTGTTGGTAATTACATCTCTGTGGCATTAAGAGCTTTTTGCTTTCTTTTTTTTTCCCCAGCCCTTGGGAGGGGTAAGCCCAAGGCGGGGAAAAGTTTTGCTGTGAATTCTTCAGCCATTTAGTGCAAATTCCTGTAATTACCAGCATTGTGTCCTCTCTGAATGGCACATAATACAGCAGAAGCCATTCCTAATTGAGACCTTTACAGGAGGTACAAATCCTCTCTTTGTTCAGCCTAACAAATTAGTGCCAGAAAGTGGCAGGGTCCGAGCGGGA